TTCCGGTTCGGATAATACAACTCTCCCGGGGTGTTGAATTTAACGAATTAGGGTCAGAAATCTTGGAACACGTATATTCTCTCCTCTTTAATGTCATTATTGTTCAAGACCTTATTATTTCTGAGGGGGGAAAAAAAGCTTCAAGAACAATTTTCGTGGAAATTGTAGATTCTTTTGATCTTCGGAGGATTTGCCAAAATCAGACACACAGGTGTACACACGCACATGTAGAGAGAGGAGAAAAATAAAGAGAAACGGTGGGAGGAAGAGAGCAGCACACGTGCGTTGCAGAATTTTCAGTAACAAAAGGAGTTACGTAGTTATTGAACTCACTAAAACATAAGGACATCAATAGGTATACACCCATACACACACCTACAATAATATACGCACTATCTCCCTCACTAAGACATACAGGCGTGCACGCAAACACAGACAGATATAAATATTTTTATGGCAGCTGCTCTGACTTCATGAGTTTAAGCGTGATACTAGATTGGCATGTAGGTCCCACTTCTTTACTGCTGAAATAGTTAAATATGACCGTCACTTCTAGTCCAAACGCGTACAGCAACGAATTAGACTCGATATAGATTATCGAGTCTTGTTCGTTACCTCTTCCGTGCTTTCTGCATTTTTATAGCGAAGAAAACGGCGACTTGCCTCGTCAAACCAAGCGACAGCGCGTCGTGTGTATCCTACGACGGAAAATATTCCGAAAAAGACAATTACTTACCAAAAAAAAAAAAAAAAAGAAAAAAAGAAAAAAGAAAAAAGGGCCCGTATTCCGCATGACATGCTGAAGACGGAATATTTAAATTAAAAACAAGTCCGTCGCAGGAGTCTATGTAAAAGTATTTTGATATGCAAAAATTAGGCGTCCTCTCCCAGTTGTCGACGAATGGAAAAAAAAAATGCTCGGTAGATAAAAGCAGTTGGTGTTCTCGAATCGGGAGAAAAAAATAGTGTATTTTGGCTACTGCGTTCGTCGGAGAGTGAGTTCTTATTCTGATTGGTTACGTGCATTGGGATTTGTGAGATAGTACCTGCGAATCGAGTTTTACGGTTAGCATATTGTGGCCTTGTTCTTAGTTAATATGCTAACCGTATTCGGAAATGAAAACATCCCTACAAACATTAAGGCATACACATAATGCACACACTTAATTAAGCTGAAAAATCGAATCATCCTTGATAATGGCTAAAAGTATAGCCGAAAGCGCTCGGAAATATAAAACATTTGGAGAGTTTTTACACACTCTTTGTCCAAAAAAGAAAGTTCTTGTTCGAACACAAGAAAAATAAAATAAAAGCTTAACCGTAGTACCTTGTTTGTCGTTTTTAATGATACATGCATATATATATATATATATATATATATATATATATATATATATATATATATATATATATATATTTATTATGGGATGTTCTATACTTAATAAATACTGCGCCTCAGGAGTAGGCAAGGAGTCAGTAGTTCAAGTCTGAACCGACTGTTCGGTTCAACTCTCTGTCTACGGACGGGAGGAACCCGAAGGAGGCTACGCCGAAGGACGGAGTCTCCTTCGGGGAGGTAAAACCGGCCCTGAACCCGTTTATACGGGTTCAATGGGCTATTTTTTGGCTGAGCCTAATGGCTCGGGAATGCCCACGTTAAAAAGGCCTTGTGCCACATGACACCCTCGTGGGGGGGTGACTGAATATCGTCAGTCGCTCAAGTCAGTCAGTAGTTCAAGTCGAGTCAAGAGTCGAGTCAGAGGCAGTCCGAAACAGAGTCGCGTTCAGACAATTATTGCAGTATATTGGAATAGTGATACTGGTTTAGACTACATTGTTCTCTCTACTAAATCTGATTGTTCATACTAACACTTTCTACTTCTCTGTATATATTCCTGTTTGTAATATATCTGTGTTATTCCATACCTGTGTTCGAGTTCTTCTTTATTGGTTCTACCTTGGACTATCACCGTGGTACCGGACCATAACACCGGATATATATAATATATATATATATATATATATATATATATATATATATATGTGTGTGTGTGTGTGTGTGTGTGTGTGTGTGTGTTATACTAATAATTATTCTCGCTTGTTAAAAAAAACATGAATGACACTATATCAAAACCATTTTAGTATCCGAGGAACAAAACTGGAAAAACAAAGAAAGAATTAGAAACATCTAAATAGGGCGAAAAAAATTGTCCTGTGTCCTACAATTCCAGTCAAAAGAAAAAAAAACCCAAATAAACAAGAGTGTAACTACAATAAAACGTAGAGTGCTCAAAGAAAGAAAATAATCCTAAAGCGCCAGTAACTACCTACCTAGGTTCCACCTATATGAATCTTCAGGTAGGTAGTTCCTGGATCTTTAGAGGATTTTTTTTATATATATATATATATATATATATATATATATATATATATATATATATGAACAATAAGAAAATAAAAAATTAAAATCATTAGACACACTGTGTTGTAGATTAATATTCTTTCGTTTTTTTTTTATTATTATTTCATTTAGATTCCTCGACTAGTTTCGACCAAAATGGCCATCATCGGGAGAAGAAATATTTCTGCTTGCTGGTAGCATTAAACTACAGAAATGAATGTTTTACTGGAGAAAATGAACTTTTGTCTGTAGTTTTCATTTGTTTTTATTTTTTTTATCTTTTTAACATGAATCTTTTAACAATCCTTGCGTTGGTCAAACAGTCTCTTTTAAGTTGTTATTTGAGATAAGAGCTGGATATACATGCTGCTCTGAATTCTCTGGTCAGTTTGACAGTTTTATTGGACCTGGTGAGGGGGTGTGTCTCTGTTTAGTGTTTGTGTGTGTGTTATTTGGTTCTTAGGGAGTGAGTGAGTATGATATGTGTAAGCGTGTGTATTGCTGTGGGTGTGTGTTATCATTTGGCTCATTAGGGAGTGAGTGAGTATGATGTGTGTAAGTGTATATATTCGTGTGGGTGAGTGTATAAGTGTGAGGCCTCCACATCTCCGTACGCATGTCTGTCTTGTGTGGGTGAGAAATGTGGGTAGGTTTTGATTTGTTGAGTTATATATTGTTACTATCTATATATTGTTAAATTTATGATTTAGCCCGGCTGGGTATTTTGTTTTTAGACGTTATATATATATATATATATATACAATATAGGAATCAACGCCTCATAGTGTCCTTCATTTTGACGGTTCCTGATCTTTATACATGTGTCACCATTCTTTTTGCGGGCCCTTAATGGGCATTACTAGATTATTGAATTAATGCTTCAGATTATTTATCGTTCTGACAAACTCGCTTGTTTGTATTGATTCATTTATTTCAATAAATTCATTTATTTAAATGTGTCTATTGAAATAAAAGGAGCAAATTGAAAGTCGTGACTCTGAATACACGAAAGCGTTAGTATAAAAATACAAGGGTCTGGTTCTTTGTCGGCCCAATTCCATCAATCCCCCAGTAGCCTTTATAGAGAGAGCCCGCGCAAGGAGTAGGAACTCATGCCTTGAAGATCATTCGGAACGTAAAATGACAGTCACTATACCGTGCTAATTCCTATATTGCTACCATTAGGTTGGTGCAAAAATAATGACGTAATAATGTCGTTTTTTGACGTATTTTTTAACGTCAAAAACGACATTATAACGTCATTATTTTTGCACCAACCTAATATCTACCTCCAAGTTCACATAGTGCCATGGGTTATTACTTGATAGTCTTCCAGCTACTGTTCAACTGTTCAATAAAAAAATTAGATTTCACTACCATTAAGAAAAAACACATTTTTTAAAACAAGAGACTTCGGCTTCAATACCAGTTGCAGAAGTGGAAATCCATGTAGCGACCATAGTTATCCATCCAACGCCCTTGGAAGTCCATCTGCCAATTGGAGTAGTCCATACCGGGGTAGTCCCATCGGCCATACCAATAATAGTTCTGGTAGGGGTAGTACATATGCCTACCTTGCCAGTTGTACCAGTAAGGGTTGCTGTAGCGTCCCTGTCTATCCATCCAGCGTCCTTGCATATCCATCTGCCAGGTGGACATATCATAGTATAAATAAAAAGAAAGAACCGTAAAATATATAATCCGGTGTTCTTATAGATATTTTTTTATTTTTACAAAATAGTGCTCAATGTAAATTTACAGAGTATTAATATTATAAATTAATTGATTTAAATCAATTATATATATATATATATATATATATATATATATATATATATATATATATATATATATAATATAAAAAGCTCAAACACTAATATTCCATGGTTATAATTTATTATATTGGAATCCTAATCACGATCCAATTCATCAGACTACAAATTCAAAAGATTTTATTTCAATGTAATAAATTATAAGAATGGGATATTATTTTTGAGCCTTTTATATTAAATTCTTAATCTTGTTCTGGGTCCTGTACATTGGATTCTACCTGGATTCTCTCCTCTTAGAAATTTATGTGTATATATATATACCTTGCATCTTAGTGGCATTATCCCCTTCAATAAGTTGAAATGAAAAGAAAAAGCGGACTGGGAAAGAAGGAATGGCAAATGGGAATAGACAGAGCAAGACGAATAGATAGATAGATAGATAGATAGATAGATAGATAGATAGATAGATAGATAGATAGATAGATAGAACCAGACTGAGAAAAAAAAAAAGAAAGAAAGAAAGAAAGAAATGGTGGGGAAAGTCACAGCTAGCTAGATAAATATAGATACTGAATTTATATATATATATATATATATATATATATATATATATATATAGATAGATAGATAGATAGATAGATAGGTAGAACTAAACTGAGAAAGAAAGAAAGAATGAAAGAAAGAGAGGTTGGTGGAAGCAGTCAGCGCTAGATAGCTAGATAGATTTATATATAATGAAGTTATATATATATATATATATATATATATATATATATATATATATAATATATATATATATATATATATATAATATATATATATACATA